AAAAAGGAAAAACGTATCGAGAAATCGGTCATCTTTTAAAATTAAGTAAGAGTATCGTGGCTGATATTGTATGGAGATACAACGGTGAATTAGTATTAGAAATAATAAAGGATACGTGTATAAGCGTCGTCAAATTTACTATCGGCAGCTTTATGAAAACATTTAATCATTGTCTCCTTTTCCTTTTCTAATATATTAATATTTTATTTACCAGTATTATACCTTGTATTATACCGAAATACATCTACCGACCTAACATCGTTTCGATAGCATCATACCGTAATTCGCACCATTTCGGTTTCATCAAACGTAATCGAATAGTAACCTAAAAATATCGATATTTTATCGGTACTCTCTCTTTCTCTATCGAATAAAAATAAAAATATTTCTGGTAAAAATACCAGCGCGCACTACGAAGATCGATCGACGATGTTTTCCTCTGGCATTTTCAGGTTTGCTTCGAGGAGGAAGACGGGAAGAAGATGCAGAAGGGCAAGAGCAACGCCACTAGCATCCCTATGACGACTTTGAGACACAGCGCGACGCCGGCGTCGCACCACGTTGTACCGAGGCCGGCGACCGGCTTTAAAATTCAAAACGCCTGGGGTGAATCGAGATCCGTGGACTTGATGTGCTCGTAGCAGGCGTAGCCCATGGCCGACAGCTTCCGAGACGTGCCGTTGATCACCGGCCTGTGGAAGCATTTGTCGAACAGCGGCCAACCGAAGAAGATGAAGCAGTAGGATCTAATCATCATCTCGCGGTATATCGCTCTTGGATCGATTGGAGAACGATCGTGAGGAAGGAGATGCTTCTTTGGCGAATGCCCGATATTTCGAGAACATTCGAGAGGCGAATGCCAGCCGATCGATTCCGGATTCGTTTGCACCCGGCTACCTTTCGAGAAAATCCCTGCTCTTTTGTGAGACTTAGGCTTCGTCGTACGTTGCTTGCCGATATTTTCACGAAGTATGTCGCCATGTAAGTTGTGTGATCTTCCACCTCGAGTACGTTTTACCGCCGATCGAGGAACGATCGATATCGAGCTGAAAGAAATCGACGACGGGAGGACGGTTTTTGTTTCACCACTGAGGAAACGGGAACAATTTTTCGAAACGGCTTTTTGTACGTACGAGACGCGTGTATCCGTGCCAATTCCTTCACACATATCGTATACGATTTTCTATTGCCGTGTTTTATCGAGCCGTGCGCGTCTAACTGTTCACAACGGGCGATCATTTCTTTTCGAACGACTCTCGCAGCAAATCAAAAAGACACTTGAAAAGTAAAAGGAGACGAACTATACAAAAATTCGTCGCACGACGAAACGATACGTAATCCCTGCAATTATTCTCTAGTTAGTTGCGATCGAGCTTCATTCGTCGTTAAATAGCTGGGCTATTTTCTAGTTGGACAACCTTTCAATTTCGTAGGTTTACGATTAGGCTAGTAACAGAGAATATACGTTATACTTTTGATATCGCGTTTTTTACGTTGTAACTATTAAATAACGTTAATTCCCCACCCCCCCTCCCTTTCTTTCTGATTATCTTTAGATAATTATCTTTTCAACGATCTTTTTAATTATCTTTAAATAATTTGTAGAGATTAAGCGTGTCCCTTCGAAACATGTATTAATAGACACTATTGCCAAAATGATTCTAATCGAGTCTGCGAGATAAGAGTAATTTGACGTTAGAGACCGTGCATTGGAAGCATATATCCCATCTAGCGTGTTAACTGTCGAAATTTCCCATATCATTCCGCGCGGAATTTGCGTTGAGCGTGAAAGTATGTCGCTTAAAGGGTACCTCGCGATGCCTGAACGATATATTTATCTGTGACAAGGGTGACTCGCGAATGCAATTGTTCACTCAAGATGTTGCTTTCAAGTTTCAAGTTACAATCATCGTTGTATGGTTGTTGTCAAAACTTTTTCAAGAACGTACGTCGTCATTCATTTCGTCACAACATATCCGAACAATTCTCTGTTCCTGACGTGCGTGAAAAAAAAAAAGAAAAAAAAAGAAAACGATAGCATTTACGATGTCCGATGTTATACATAATATGCGAAGGTTCGTTGTCTGAATCTAGTTGAACGTAGTCGGCTATTTTCGTAGGGAATTCGATAGATGTATAGCATGAAATGGTATTATACAATCATTGTATGCTGTTCGTAACGTTCGCGGTTATTTGTGAGAAATGTCGGCCGATTTGCAGCAAGATTTCACCAATTTGTTCCGTTCTCAGAAACGCGGATCGAGTTGAAAATCGATTCGTGTTTGTTGTCGAGTGGTTTTTCGGTGATTTGAAAGAGAGGAAAAAGAAAAAGGACAACCGAGCGATATAAATTCGCATTTCGTCGACAATTGAAAATACTGAATGATAATTTTTCTCAATGGTCGCGACAAGATCGGCGCGATCGGCATTTTTGCAGTTGCGCAACGATATAATATCAGTAAGTGTTTGAATATAAGTACATGTTAAATACACTCGTACATATCTAATCGTGCTTCATCACTGGACAACCTAATCACCATTTCCCTCTCTATTAATCTCAACGTCTGAATATCCGCTTTAAACGTCGCGTGTTCTCGCATGATTTTGCAAAAGCGCATTAGCTATTTACAGTATACCTTTTATTGATTTTGTGTTTTGTGCACGAGCGTCTCCCAGTTTCCGTAGATGCATTCAAGATGGCGATAGGCATCAGCTCCAAAAATAAATTGCCTAATGCACGCGAGCCTAGCATCACCTTCAATCGAACGGAATTCATTACGGCGCTGTTACGGTTAATCGGACGGAGATCAAACAAAGATTCTCTCGTTCGAATTTTGTACGAAAGATTATATGATAAGGCAGTTCGTTGTCCGGCTGCGACACCAGATGGAGACGTCTGCACAAAGTAAATTCCTTGCCGAAAATTGACTGTATCAAATCGCATTAAACGAGGGTTCGTTTATTGATTACAAACGTTGTTATCAGCTCTGGCAGCCGCGTAATTGAACTAACATTATTAGCGAAATTTTATGAAGCTAATGAACTCTTTTGTGCGCCGCTAACAAGCTTGGTAATAAAAACAAATTAAATCTAAATTACTGTTAGCGCGAGTTGCTAATTGGTGCCGAGTTGATTTTAGAAATTGGTGATTATTAATTTTATCTCACAGTAAAAAAAAAAGGGAGGGAGGCAGCTCTTCAGTGAATATTAACCACGACGTTTTGAATTAATTTTGTTTCGATTTTCTAAAATTACGACAAATGGTAGCAGTTGCTTCTACAACAGGCAGCTTGTCTTTTATCAATTTAGTAGTATTAACAATTACCAAGTTATTCAGGATTTTATTGAATTTCTTTCATCGATGCAACGATGGCTGTTTCGATGTAGCAGAAATTGGAGTAGATCAAGTTGAAACGTAATTGCACATTGGCAATTGGACAAAATCCGGTGGACGTGTTAATATGTATTCGATGGACTGACTGTACGAAGCAAAGAAGAGAACGTTAATACGGAGATGTTTCGAGGTTGCTCTACAGAAAACAGGCAAACGAGCGCGTTTCAGAAAAAGAAGAAGAGAGGAAGCGTAGAAAGCAAAGTCGTGGAGGTGGTTGGGGGGCAGGAGAGGGTGGTGCGAATAGAAAGGGTTGCCTCGTCGGCCAAAAGACGAAATAGACTACTCGTCACTGCGACTACTTAACTGCTGTTCGGTTTTGCAGATGCCCCAAATACGAAACTGCTTTCAGCCAACCTAGTTCCTTCGATCCGGTTTCTTCGTATTTTTAATCTCAAAAAAAAAAAGGAAAAAAAATTGTAACAGATCCATTTATAGAACTTCGATTGTGGATTTACGGATAATTTTAGGATGAAGATTCTCGTAGAAACGATTGGAAGTCAAGAATAGAAAGAGCACGATGTAAAGTTCCCACATTTCTGTTCTGACTTTGTTCTTGGTCGAGACTGATATTTGAAGATGAAATATTTTTATTCGATTCGTCTTTTTTTTTATTAATTAACTCAAAAGTCGAACGAAGGAAGAATTGTTAGAGAGACATGTACATATTCCTGACGTCACGCCGTGATTAAATAAACACTGGCCGAGTTTATCTGACAACGTGGAAATAATTTACGGTTCCAGCGTAATTTAACGGAGATGAATTATGGATAAACTTGGAGAGCGCGAACATTATTATTCGACATAAAATTTTGAAATTCTCGGAATGAGTGATTTGACAATTATCGTGCAAATGAGTACGAGAGAAATAACATATAACGGAATATGGAAATAATGGAAATGGGAAGAAGAGGGTGAGATATTTTCATCTCTCCCTCGACGATCATAATAATTAGACCTCGGATTTTATGCAAATTCATATTTTTATGAGTATAATTGAAGAAACGAGGTGTACATAGAAAATTGGTTCACACACTACATATTGTTATTGTTACTGAATATTAAATTTTGTTTTGTCCGCTACATAAAACGTGTATGTATATACAAACCTCTAGTTAATTACAACGTTTTATTTCCAAGATTCGTTAGAAGACTGAAAGAATCTTATGAAACGTTCGTTTAAACTAATGGCGGTCTATTGAAAGAAAGGGGAAACTTTCATAGAGTTGTTTAAACGAAGCGAAACGGAGCGAGAAACTCCATTCGTAAGTATTAACAAAGGCACGAGTGAAAGAGCTTGGCTGTGCAAATTTAATCGCGGTGCAAATAATACATTGGCCGAGAAAATAAAAAAAGAAACGGCAAGCTTGAAGAGTCCGGTGTCAATAGGAGCCGGAGGAACGAGTTCGACAACTGAAACAGGCTTGAGTCGAATTCAAAAGTCTCCCGTTAATAGCTTCCCTCTCGAGGGATTACTATTTACAAGTTCTTCCCGAACAGTTCGGAAGTTGACGTCGAACGGTACTGAAAACTGAATGAACCGCAGACCAAAAAAGGAAGATCGAAATCATTTAAACGATTTAACCACTTGCGCTAGTAACTGGTGCACGGACCGTAACGAGTGACCAAACCGTATACAACAATTCGTCTTCTTTTTTAAATTCATCGGTATATCACTGGACAGAAATTTGTTTTGCCTAGGTTATATTTTTAAATATACCTAGAGAACTGAGAAAATATTGCAATTTTGGGCCAAATAACGACGTATTCTTTTCCCCCCCCAATTTCGTTTCGTCATTTCGAATTTCCAACGAAACGAAGTTATCGTCGTGTCACGGTAGAGCGTTTAATTGAATACATTTGAAACAAAAAATATAGTTTTACTTGCCGAGTTATCGTAGCGGATGTGAGCCGTTCTCTCAGTTTCGTCAAACTCGAGCTTCTTTCCACAAATTCACCGAAATTCACTCCCGCTAATTCAAACGAGAAACGAACGGTTTTCCTCGTCACGCGAACGAACGGTTAACGGTTAAGAGGTTAGAGTAAATGGCGGGTAGATGTCGCGCGCGTGCGTGTTGGAGCGTCACAGAGTCAATATGGCGGCAGCGGTGCGGCAGTGAACCGCGTTCTTTGACACGATGCAAGTTACTGGCATTGCCGCGTGCAGGCGCTGCCGAGCGTGCGTCCGCCTCGGCCAAGGATGCTCGCGGTAAAGTGTCGTCTCGGGACCGAAGACTCGTGTCTTCCTCGACTGTCCGAGTTCACCGCGGGCTCGTCCAGCGGCAGCCGCGGCGATTGTTCGCGAATCGTTGACGTTCTGCTCTCCCGCGTGTCGTCATCTCGCCGTACATCCTGCAAGGACAGTGTCTGCTTTACCGTACGATCGTGCCTCTGAACGAAGGAGCCTCTGACACGGAGCGAGCGTGGTGTTGCTCCTGTAAACTGTACCCGCGGCACGGTAGGTTCCGCGAGTTCCTTGTCCTTTTGCTGGCGACGATGCTTTCTGTCAAGCGACACCGACACGATCACATGGTTGCCCGACGTTGCTTGCCCGGCCGCGATTCGCCGAGACGTTAATACTGTGTTACTTCCAACGGACCGATTGATCCTCGAAACGACCGAAAATGCGCGAGACGACGTTGAGATTCACTCGCCAGCCTTGAGAGGGTCTCTGGAAGCTGCGATCAAGGAAGAAGGAAAGAAAAACTTCAGGCATTTTCGTGGCGACTGTTGACAGAAGACATCGAACGGTGAGTAAGTGCCTTACATTGCCGAAATCCATCGGCACTTTGTTATCTTTCTTTCTTTTTTTTTTTTCTCCTGTTCGTTCGCTCACGTGACAGCTGACAGGCGCTGTCAGAGGCTGTCACGATGTCACCGATAGTGACGACACGTTCCTTCGACACGATGTTTCGTATCTTTCCTCGCCTTGTATCTTCTCGTCAATAAACCGTGAAAGCGGAATCTCTTCGATCGAAGGCACGATTAAGAGATTCTAAGCGTATGTAAATGGGTGTTTCCCGGAGGTTACGTCGGCGAACGCGAAATCTGTTCCGCTCGCCGATATCGCGCGGAATGTTTACGAACCGTGGAACAGGAACGCCAGAAGCGAAATACATATAACTCGAGGTTATTTTTTTCTGCGTGTGTACGTGTGTTTTGTGTTGACTTCTTTTCTCGAATACGCGGTTTCATCGAGCTCCGGCTCAGGCTCAGGCAAATTCGTCGTCATGGCGATGGTGTAATGGAATTATTCCGAAAAATGTAATGGAACGCACATTTTCACGTTGTAAAAATCGTCGAGAATTTCGGACTGCCGAGACACTCGGGAACGAGACGAGCCGGACAAAACGGAATCGTTTGCAAGACAAATAACACGTCTTTTATTCTTTATCGGCAAGCGCAGTCTGTTCAATGCGATCATTGTTGCCACGTTGCCTATTGTATTCTTTCATTCCGTTAGAGAGCCGGAATCGTTTTACTGGAATTATTCGAGATGTTTTCGTTCGTCGGAATTGAAATTTAATTAAACGGGCGAGCGATCGCCGGTCTCTGTTCGCCGCGAACCGCGTATTTCGTCTGTGTTGGTATATTTGAAAGAAGAATCACGGTCTCTTGAAAAATGTCGTTTACGCAGACTAACATTAATTAAAGATAATGTTAGTTCAACCGAACCAATAATTCGTTTTTTTTTTCTTTTCGTGAAACTGAATTTAAACATTAAATTGCATAAAAGATCAAAAACGAGTAAAACGAGTTTGTTTTCATTTAATCGAACTACCTCAAACTACTTCAAACACCATCGTCCGTGAATATTTCATCATTTCTAAATCGTAGAATTTATTTCAGAGCACGATACAATTTGCCGATAATTCAATGATTCATTGGTATAAATAATAGTCGCAGTAATTGAAGATTCATACCCTCAGATTAAACTTGCTCAGTAGCAGAACATCAAAGTGATTGAAAATGACAAAACAATTGTTTATCTTTAATTACATTCCAAATGTTTGCACGAATAGACCGTGAAACATCGTCGATTATGCGATGCGTAAATGTCTTGCTAATCCCTTCACTTTTAATTCGATTGATCTCGAGTTACACGACGAGATCAGA